CCTACTTTAAAAGCAGAAAAGTTTCAAACGCATAAATGAAGACTTCAAGAGCAACCCAACATTTTGGGTAGGTCTACATTTGCATTTCCAACACTGATGCCATAAAGGAGATATGTTTTAAGACTGTGATTGTTTAATGCTTTCCCAAAATCTGTCCCATTTGAGTGTACCTCAACTTGGAGGGTCCAACTGCTGACATGTTCAGCCATCATAATAATTACACTATTATTATGATTGAAAAATGCCAAAAAACATTGTATGTTCTATACTAAATACTGGGGTTTTTTTACACATTCTGTAGCTATGTGATACAGGTAAGGTAACTTGTAGAGTGAAGTAAAAGGAAGTTTCAGAAGGAAGAAAATCTTTTCTTTCTAATGAGAAATCAAATAAATGTATACTTAGGAGACATGCAGAATGGCAATAACTCACATTCTCCAAACAGTGCAAAAATTCTATTTTCAAATTATCAGCTATATTTATGAAAATTTTCACTAACCTGGGTGCTCCATCTTTTGTGTTCCCTATCGAGTTGATTTATCAGTACCTCTGCAGCTTTCAATGTTTTCTGAGCTTTACTTAGTTCTGCTTCAAGTTTTGCTGCTTCTGTTGTTCTACTCTGGAACCTGTAAAACAACTACTGTTTGTAATTGCTATCATGAACTACTAAACTTACGGACAGTTATTTTCAAGGCAGCTTAACTGACTGAATTTGTCATGAATTACTCCCTTATTGTTCATGAAGAACACAACTACAATTCTCTGTTATACCTTCTGCTTCTAACTGGCAGATGAGCTTGTTAGACTTTTAACTAACAAAATCTAGATAGATGCACAGGTGAGATTTAAAAATACATTTGCAATATAGACTATACTGTCTGAAAGTCATTCCTTCTTCTACTTAAACAGCCTGACTCGATTTTAGTGATTGTGTTAAGTTTTTTTCTGCACCTAGTCAGGACAATAGAAAGCCCAACACCATACTGTATGTTTGTAACTTTTTGGTAAATTTAATCTATGAAACCTTTAAAGGAGAATATTGCTAATTCATACTGATGACCCCCGTTCAATGCACAGTACTTTATTTTGTAAACTAGTATGAAATAAGAACATGCCCGAAACAATAGGCAAGGTTTAGGTATTATTTTCTCATGTTTAATATCTAATGAGCTTAATTAATATTTCATTAAAATAACCAGTGCATTTAATCCAGCTTTTAAAATTAATATATTTAACTGTACTATATAGTATATAGTTAATCTAAGGCATCACTATATAGTTGAATGACAAGAAGAATTCTCTTTTTTTTTTTGCAGACTAGAAAACGTGAATTTTAGTAATATGCACATATGTCAGGTTGTAAAGTATCTCCTATACTAACTACATGATAGAAAGATCAAACTAAAAGACTTGGATTAAACTGAATTTGGAGAAAGTATAAAAGTTCACCACAGCAATTTTTATGCCACAGTGATGAGATGCTAAGAAAAAAGGAGACAGCTAACTAGCTAACTGTCAGAAAAGTAGACCATCCTAAAAGAAATAGAACTGCCTTTATTCAAGCTGTGATCAGTAGAAGTCTTGTATAGGAATGTTTCCAAAGTCCTAAGGAGACATTAAAGTCCTCTTAGATTGAAAAGGTGAGAAACATACTGCTTATCTTTGACACCTACAATGTCTACACTGAAGGCTTCCAACGCAGTAGTGAGAAGCAGGTACTTTTAAGGAGCATTTCATCTGATGAGATGAACTGTAATCTAACAGTATTTATTTATCTCCACTGAGTGTATAGATAGCCTAATTATCACTATTTCTGATGTAAATATCTTGCAGAGCAGGGAGTTACATTTGGTTAGATGAATTTCATTATTCATACTGTAAGATGATCAATGTTTTTATATATATCTTGAAATAAACAAACCCAACTTACTTATCTTTCAATTCTGATACTTTTTGACCAACAGTGTTCAATAGATCTTCTAACTTCTGTTTTCTGTCTTCAGTTTTCTTGAGATTACTACAAAAATTTAACATTTATTTTAAGACTATGGATCCAAAGGAAAAAAAAAAAAAAGAGTAAATGTAACAGGAAAGTCATTTATACAGTTAGTTCAGAGACAGTTCTTTCTTGGGATTTATAGCAACAAATATCTGTTTTCACGTTTAAAGTTTTGACTGCTTCTCATCACATAGCTTTAAAAATGGAAACCAAACACCCTATTCAAATGTACTCTTAAAGAGCAGAACAAATTCTTCCTGGCAAAACAACCAGTACAGATTCCTCAGGTTATGAATGGTCATCAGACTATGTCATATCTTTTTGATCCTAAGGAGAAAATGATTATGCTTGGTACATGACTGAAAAAAGAGGAACTACATATCTCATAAAATAGCATGGGTTTCACTGACAGAATACATTTTAAGCCTATCTGTGATGTTCATTTCTCCCTGACACATTTCAGCTGAGACAGGTAACTTGTGATTGGCCAAAAAATATCCAAGGCATAGCTTCCAGGAAAAACAAAATATTGCACACTTACTTTTTCTGTGTCAGCATGAATGTTTTATTACCTATGGATGAGGTAAGGTTTCTTAAATCTTTTGTTTTTAATAAACTTAGTTTCCTCCTTGGCAGCTTCAGTTTCACCCACCACCATTGGAATTAAGAACATTTATTTTGTAACAGTGTCTAACTTACGCTTCCAAACCAGACTTTTCTCTTTCCAAAGGCTGAATTCGTTCTAGGACGTGGGAATACTGGACATTGGCATTCACCCAAGCTGCTAATGGAGCAGCTGCAGCACTGGCTCGTTTAGCATTCTGAAAAAATCAGTAACAGTTACAAGGAAGTCCTTGAAGTATAATGTAGATGAGGTAAATACAGGATAAATACTGCAACAGATTTATGAGTTATCAACTTAAATATGCCAATTAGCCAGCTCCTCTACTGAACTAATCTTTTAAATTGTTACTAAGAAATTATATCGTAGGCCATCAATCTGTGTAAAAAAAAAAATAATGGGTATCTTTAAACCTATGAAGCTTCACTGAAGTTAAGAAGTTTTAAATTAATGCATAATTTATCAGTGTGTTCCTTCTCAGGGAACTACAACTTTCCTTTTAAAAATAAGGAACTAGTATTTAAGAATTCCTTTTCATAGCTACTGCCAAATCAATTCTCAAAGATCACCCATACATTTAATCATCATTAGTCCCTGTTTTTTAATTAAGTGTACTGTTAAGACTCTTACTGCTACCCAGAGGCCAGAAGGAGCCAGTTACAACTCCTTGATCTGAGTTCTAATTTATACCAGTGACAAAAATCTCTGAAGACTTGACTCCATAATGAGTTCTCATCCCACCGTTCCTCAGTCACCAACAAAATTCTCACTGTTAGAGGTGGTATGCAACAGAGTAATCTCAGATACACTTTTATCTCTTTATAAAGACAAATTCTGTAAGCACAATTCATTACTTTTTCTCCAACTTAAGTACATTATAAAATTATGCTGGCAAAACAGACAATCATGTCTTTTTTTGTCTTCTTTTTCTTTTTGTCTTTTTTAATTTTATGTAATGCAATCAGGAATTACCTTTGGATCAAAAGATGTTCTGTTTTTAGAAAGAAGTTCTTCAACACTTTCTCGTATTTCTTTTGGAATATTACGAGCATCAAAGGTTGCTATGTCCTCCCTCACCCCTCTTTTGGCCAAGAAACTGTAAAAAGAATTAAATAACTAAGGAAAGAAGACACAAATGTTAAAGGTTATTTCCCTATGAAATCAAAGAATTCTGCACACACGTTATTCCTGAATGTAATAGAAAGTATTTCATATTGTAAAATGCTGCCTAAGTTTAAAGCTTAAATAAAATCCTCACCTCTTCATGCTCACCCATGATGTATCAAAAATCCCCATCAGCCGTAAAACTCCTTCTAGTATGTCTCTGATTATGTCAGGGGGCATCCGTAGTGACCGGATTTCTGACAAAGATTCTGGCTTTATATTTCCAACTGCTAATTTAGCTTCATTAACCAGTGGCTTAAAACATAAAAACACATTAAAAAAGAGATGAGGGTACAAGAAACTGATCATTTGCCATTTCAGCTTTTATACAATTTCTTGTTCTTTTTACATATTTTATTACCTAACCAACTGCCATTGATGCATATTCATGTGCACAAGTTATTAAAAAATTGCTATGTGTTTACTAAGTGTTAATAAATATATTTCCATATAAATTAGCATATTATAGTCCTGACATCCCCTAACTTTTCATTCAGCACTTTAATTCATAAACAGTATATAGATGTTAGTATTGGTCATGTTTGTTTCCTCTTTCGTTGCTTGAAAGTACATTGTGATACAGGTATGTTTTAATAATGATGTTAATTACTATTTATAGGCATGCCTGAGGATATCTTTGTAAAGATAGGTAGAAGTACAGGTCACAAAAGCTTTCTTTTTTCAGTAGCTAAACAAATCCAGACAGCCTTTGCCCTTATCAACAAAGCAACAAAATGCTAAGAAAACAGAAGAAAGTTAAAGATTATCATTAAAGACTGTGCACACCTTGCACATCCTTCTGTTTATCAAAGACCACAGAATTACCCTAATCCTCCAGTTCTATGTCACTTTCAAGACAAGGATATGATTCCTTGGCACCTATGATATTTAAAAGGAAAAAAAATAAGTTGCTGTACTTTTCTCTTATTCTTTAGTATAATTTTAAAATGGATGGGATGAAAAAGAGAGACTAAAAGCAATGACTGAACACACATACTTCCCCCCAAAAAATAATGCTTAATGGCTACAAGGTCTCCTGAACAAGCAGTTTGCTGAAGTACCGTTGGCATATATAATTTTCAGAATTTAGTAATAACTGGAAATTATCTCTCATTAAACTATTTCCATTCAGCTGATAGTACCAAGCCCTACCATATTACCAGCTTGACTAAGGTGGAGCAATGTAAGACATTAGTAACTGAAAACTATTCCATAAGATCTGCAGAACCTAGCTGTAGATCATGGTAGCATAGAAATAGCAACTGGAGGTAAGATTTGGCCTGAAAATTCTTTCTGTAATTAAGATCTAATAGAACACAAATGCCAAAATGACAAGCTAAATCTAGAAAACAGAATACTATTTTCTAATGCATAAAAGTTTTAATACCAAAATAATTTAGAGCAAAATTTAAGAAATGCAGGGATAAATTTTGCAGAACCATTTTGCATGGCAGGACTTGAGTAACTCAAAAATCAGACTGCAAAATAGTACTTTTTCTTATCAGCTCTTACCTGAACCTCTTTTAGTTCATCTTCGATTTTTCTTTTTCTTTCTTCTATTTCTGCAGCCTCTTCTGCTATCCGGTGTTTTATTTTTTCCATTTCTGTTTTTTGCTCACTAGCACTCTGTAAAAAACAAAAAAAACCCAAAACCTTTAGTTTTCAAATTTAAACAGATTTTATTCCTTTAGGTCTCTTACTTCTTTTAGTCTTGATTATAATATAATTTGCACAATACCAATTACAATAAAAGACTATTTGATACTAGACAGACTAATTCAAAAAAATACATAAGCATTGGGCTTAAGCTTGTATTTATGTGACTAAATTGTATGAAATAAGCATCTTTTAATTTACTTCCCTTTCTTTACCACAGACAAGATCTGTGCCTCTAATTTTGAGGCTCATTATGACCTTTTTTCTCCTTTCCTCCATTCCTTATAAAGACGTCAGTCCTCCTCTAAAAGAATGAGTGATGGCCTCTGTAACATTCTTACTACATTTGAAAGTAGTATCTTCCTGCCATTGTCTTTGTAGCTGCTCGCATTTCTATTTCTTTCATGACACCATTAAAACTCTCCTTTTCTATAATGTTCATAAAATCAGCAGTTGTGTTGGAACTACAGCCTATTAGCCTAAAAATACTAATACATTATTTACTTGTAAATTTGGACCCATCTGCCTGTAAGGATACCTGTCTTATGTCCCACACACATACTGTAAGCTGTTTGGGTTTATATCTTAATTTTTTTCCTGGATTTGTACTGTGCCTACCATACAGCAGACAGTAGCTATTAGCCATCTCCACAACTCCTAAGCACTTCAGTACAACAATAAATACCTAATACATAAAACTAAAATAAAAAAGACCTTACATATCCTGAAGTTAACAAAAAAAAAAAAAACCCAAAACAGGGACTACCAATACCAGTTACGAAACAAATAATTGAGGATAAATGCATAAAATAAAAGACTTAATATTCTAGGCTCAGTTCACCTAAAAGATACAAGACAACAACTACCAGCACTCACGTTTTTATATATTTTCCAGTATATAACACATTATTACAACCAGCAATTGTCGAGCTGAGTTGAACTTGTAGCAGAAGGTAACAGATGTATACAAGCAGAGAAAACCTTGAGATTAATAATAATATCTAATCTAATAATCTAATAATATCGATCTGTCTAATAATCTAATAATAACCCAAGCTATAGACCAGTATGTCATTGAAGATTGCATTCAAATCCATAAAACGTTAACTACCTAAAACTAGCTAAGACATTTCATACAAACGTACATGTACTGAATGATAGCTCTGAATAAGAAAACCTTAAAATTCAGTTGTAGGTCAAAAGCCTTGCTCTGAAAGAAGATTAAAAGAGTCCATATTAGAGCCCTTTTACATAAGTTAGAATATTTGAAGTGACATTAAAATGTTAGAGGGCACCTATACTTTATGCTAATCTAAATAATCAGAATTCTACTGTAATTTTTCTGATGTCAGTGGGCCCATCATGTTTCACTGCTTTTGTCCTATTCTTTGATTTTGTCCTACAACATAACATGTGCTGCCCACACAACCTGTAACTCTACTGGACAACACCAGATGCAGATTTAAAACAGAAATCAGGGAAATGGTGTAATAAATTCTTTGAGGCCAGCAGTGAACACACCAAGCCAATCATCACTATTCAAATTCATGTACAGTAGGCAGATATAGGCTAATAGTATTAAAAATTGCCAACAGAAGTAGACTTATAAAAATGGGAAGTAATGCACCTTTAAAGCCCTGTGAACCAAATGGTTTCAAATAGCAGGCACCTACTTTACTGCATACAGAGAATGTCTTTGTCATTGAGCTTCTTTATTTAAGTTTGCTTCAGACCAATGAGACTAAACCAGTGACAAAACAAACAGTGCAGTGACAGCAGATTCATTATGGCTTATCCTACATTTATGATTTCTGGAAATAATAGATCAATGTAGAGATCTATTTTCTGCACAGTTATTTTATTTAAGTGAGAAAATACTACTGAAGAAAATTACCTCCTCAAAAAGTAGAAGGTCTACCTCTGAGCTGAAGAATAAAAATTCAAGGAGTGATGAACACAGAGGCATTATTTAACCTTCTTTGAGGTTCAGTTCAAAGGACTGGACCTCATGAAATACATACTTTCTAATAGTCCACTAATTTAATTCCTGGTATTTGTTACTTAATAGTGCTACTTGTCAGCATTTTGTTGAAAGTTCCTATCTGTAATAAACATAAAATGGATCACTTTGGATTTATGAAGTTCTAGGAAAACTTTCAGCCTAAACTATAGCAGTAAATTCCACGCAGGTGCAAAACTTGCACCAATCTCTTCCTACTCCATCAGTTCAACTATGATTTAAACTATATAATCCTCTGTCCTTTTGCAAGTTTATTCAATCCTCAGGGCTCATGCATTCCCTTAGGCAAATTCTTGTAAAAGCATGAGGTTTTGTAACCCTTGAAAAGAATAAAAACCACAGGGAGTTATGGAGACCAAAAATAGAAAAACATCTCTTTTTTTTTTTCACTTTTGATGTGATTGTATACAACACCTGCATAGATATTGTAATTTCTTGAAGGGCAGCATCAGCCTCATCCTGCTTCGTTTTGAGTAAAATACTTTGTTCTCCAGCTTTTCTGTTCAGTTCATCTACCAGGGCTTTAGCTTCATTCAGCTTTGAAACACCTGCCTATAAAAGTTTATAAAAGTAGTTATTTAGCAATGAATTTTAAACAGTTTTAAATGAAGGTTGGTTGCAAATAGTAAGCACAAACTAAGAGTGACGTAGACTAATATTCTTAATTTTTTAATTTATGTTCCACATTTTCTTTATATTATTTACACTTTCTTAGATTTATTTAACCCAAAAATGAGATTTGACACTTCTAGATGTGTCGCTGTAAGGTCTATTACTACATCAAAAAGCTGAAAAAAAATTTCTCAAAATAACACGCTTTTAATGGAACAGCAACTAGTACATAATCTTTTTCTCATTAATTCAATAGCAGTTCAGTTAACCAATATTGACTCCATATAATTATATCTCCTCTAAAAGCAAATCTACAAAAATTAAACAAATTGAAACAAACTAAATTATCCCATTTCTACGTACTTGTATGTTCTCTAAAGAACATAAATGTATATAAAGCAAAGCCTCAATTATGCTTAAGATTAACTGTTTTCTTTATTCACACTTTCTAAATTATTTACTCCATGGTAATCAGATAATAGAGTTATTTCAAGATATATTTGAAACAAAAATATTACCTGGAAGATGTTTTCATTTAGGATACACATCTTTAATTCTCATGTAAATGATTACTTCTAATTAACCAGAACATTTAACAAGTAAATGAGCATATGCCAGCAGAGGGTACCCCACACAACCATGATAGCAGCTACAGCCCATTAATCATACACTCATAGAAGGCTTTGGGTTGGAAGGGACCTTTAGAGATCATCCAGCCCAACCCCCCTGCAGTGAGCAGGGACAGCTTTAACCACATCAGGTTGCTCAGAGCCCCGTCCAACCTCACCTTGAATGTTGCCAGGGATGGGGCCTCCACTGCCTCTCTGGGCAACCTGTTCCAGTGCTTCACCACCCTCACTGTAAAAAATTTCTTCCTTATAGCCAGTCTAAATCTACCCTCCTTTAGTTTAAATCCATTAGTCCTTGTGCTGTCACAACAGGCCTTGCTAAAAAGATTCTCCTCATCTTTCCTTTAGGCCCCCTTTAAGTATTGGAAGGTGGCAATAAGGTCTCCTCGCAGCCTTCTCTTCTCCAGGCTGAACAACCCCAACTCTCTCAGCCTGGCCTCATAGGAGAGGTGCTCCAGCCCTCGGATCATTTTTGTGACCCTAATTAATTAATTAATACACAAGGCATTTCCAAATGTGAGATTATTTTGAAAAGCCGTACGTTAAAAATGTTTTAAACACATACCTGCAAGTGGTTCTGCCTTTTTATCAGCTCTCGTCTTTTACTGTTATTGATGGTACTGTATATATGAAGGAATGTCATATACCTGCTAGGTGTTGCTCCATACATTTTACATGACTCATGGATTGCCAGAAATGACTTCAGAAAATCAGAATCACCTACACAACACAATTTGTTACACAGTTAATAGTATACTCCTTCTTACCTCACATTAAAATAACTAAGGAAGAGCAACAGAATATGGGTTTTGAGATATGAATTAAGGACATTCAAAATATCACAAAGAATACACTTTTTTCAAAGTACTCCCAGGGAAATAACACGTAATTACATTTGAAATACATATTCCTCAGAAAGAAATATACTGAAATTGTTTCAAAGCTGTAAAATATTTCATTGATGTTTAGAAAAGCAGGCAAAATTAATTGCAGATTACTGAAGGCTAATCATAAAAGAAACTTTATTTCCACAGGAATTGAATTTGAAAATACATGGAATTTTTCAGAAAGGAAGCCCAAGTTTTTTTGTCTTCTCCCTTGTCTCTGATGACAGGTAGACTAAAAAGTTTTTCTGAACATTCCAGGTCCTTCAGTTTGTTGAACAGAGTTTCTCAAAAGAAGCTCAAAGATACATAAAATACATTGTATTACCCGGCAAAAGGAAAAACTGCTAAAACATATCTACGTATAAATGAATGCCTTTAAAAAGTACTGAGATATATATTAAGTACCATGATCTAGGATAAAGATGGATGGTAGCATGAACACTAAACCCTAAGTTTGGCCATTGTTCTGATGGGCTAGAATGCCTATTAAAAAGCAATACAAAACAAGAAACCCCAAGTGAACCACTTACTGTTTTATACCTTTTTGGCTCCATGGCTTCTAAGTGTTACTTAGACTAATGCTTTATAAAAAGTGGCTAAAATTAGTATTATGCAAATGAGTGCTGGCACTGGTCTCCTAGATAGTCTGACACCCTATTTTTAAAATGGTTAAATTTGAAATTTTATTATAAAACCAAATTATTCTGAAAAAGGGTCATTACTTACAAGAAAGTTAAGTTGAGATAAAGAATTACTAAAGTAAAATGAACAGGTCTAGGACAAGAATAATGAAAATATATAGAATGGAAAGTAGAAAAACTCTCAAAGCATCAACTTTTGAGGTTGTGAAATAACATCCACATAGAAGGAAGACACAGAACAAAACAAAACAATATGTAGCTTAATCAGTTTATAAAACTGAATATACGCAGTGATGGCTTGTGACAGAAGAGACTGGGTTTGATGAGCCAGGATGTATGTTCCAGACTAATGTTCCCTTCCGCAAAATACCTGCCATGTGAACAATACTAAAGTCTATGAATATGCTGGCAAAAACATACTCAAAGTACCTACACTAATTTCTATGCCCAACACAGGACTAAGTGTTTAATAATAAGTAATAATAACTAAGGGTCCACCTAAATATTACCTGAATGTTTTTTCTTAAGTTCCTTATGCATTTTTCCAGTCTTTTCTTGTTCATCTGGATCATACAGAAGCATTTCAGGTATCTAAAACAATGAACATGATTTTTTGTATGAAAATTACAAACAACAAAATTTTGAGTTAAAATACAAAAACTAAACCTTTAATCCAGTTTTTCATTTGAAAAGACTGAGTTTGATAGCTTTATTCAGAATAAGGTATTTACAGAATATTTATAGCATTAAAAAGATAAATTCTGCCTTTTCCTGTAACTGATAACTTCCTGTTGTCTCAAGCAGAGGAGCTTTTGCTGGGTCTAAGAAAGAGCAATTAATTCTCAGAGGACTCTTAAAATAACACAAAAGTCAAAGATGTAAGAAGATATACAACTCAACAGCAAATCAGACAGTCTTAAGTACAATGGTGAAAATAAATAAAGTATATTCAAAGGTTCTGGCATACAACTAAATGATAAGACTCCACTTAAAAAAAAATCCCTACTGAAGTGAAAGTGAAAATACTCTGAAAAACTTTTTTTAACTGTGGACAAAGCTGGTCTAAGCATTTGTGCCAAGAATAACTTTCAGTACAACTCGCCATTGAAACTGAGGCACAGTGGCAGGTGGAGGAGCCCCAGTAAGCCGGGCAGAAATGGACACTGTGCCAGCTGCTCCCATGGCTCTCCCAGGAGAGTGACCAATTCCATGGTCCAGGTGAGAAACCCATCCTGATGAGTCAATGGGAGAGGTCAGATTACCTTACAGACTAGACTGAAGGCGTTACTGCATAGGAGGCTTGGGACACGTTCTGGGATGCAGTGGAAGAGCATTTCAGATTGCACAAGACTTACTGTGGGTTGGTGAGGCACCCACAGGCGTTGGCAGCCAGAGGGACTAGAAGGTCCAGGCCAACTACCTGAGAGACTGTGGAGTCTGGAAGCCAAATGAGAATTGGCTGCATGTGTCTCTGTGCGTGTGTGCAGGTATTCGTATGTGCCTGTGCAGGATGCAATGTGGAGATCCTAGATCCAAGGCCAGCTACCGGATGCACTGGATATCTAAGCCCATTTACTGGAAGGATCCACTCTGTGTGTGTGTGTGTGTGTGTGTGTGCACGCGGGCACACACGCACAGTGAGGCAGTCTATAGCAGCAGCTGTAGTGGGGCTGCAGCCTCAAGAGCTTGTACATCCAGATGCCAGCAACCAGGGAGACCGGCAGATCCAGAGGCACCCACTGGAGGGGTAGCATGTCTATGCCCAGCTAGTAACAAGATCCACATTCTTCACATGTACATATTTCCCACTAATGGACCTTCACTGTGATCACTCGGAGAGGGGAACAGGATGATGCCAATGGTGCTGTTTGTGTTTGTGCTGAGGGTTTCTGTTTGTGGTGTTCTGTGTGGCCAATCACATGTATATATGCACTGTGTATGTGTGTTTGTGCGTGTGCCTGCTGGGAACACATGCTCCGCTTCACCAGTGATTCAAGCTGGGGCCATGAAGCTGTGGGCAGCCTTGCCCCTACCAGGGTACTGGATTTGGAAATCTCTTAACATATAGTAGTAATATATATCTTTCTCAAACTTACACTGTGAACATCCTGAAATAAGCAGATTTTTATCCTAAAAAGAACACACTGACTCTTTTCCGTCAAGCGAAACACTTAACAAAGACTCAAGAATAACATAAGGTTTACAGGGCAATCTGAGAGCTATAGCAGTTCATATACACATAGCAAACTTATTTTTAAACTAGCTTTCAGGCATATGAGTAACAGCAGATATCATCAGCAGATAGCATCAGCACATATCACCCGTCTAGTTGTATTTTGTTCTTAAATGCTGTGTTTGATAAGAGTCATAGTAGTCAGCATTTTGTTCCAAGTCAGCCCACAGAGAGAACGAAATATAATGTTACTGGTAAAATAACAATGCTAATTGTTATACTTAATAACTTAATATACCTAATATACTTAATAACTTAACCGTTCTGCAGAATTTTCTGCCTTTGTAGGACTGCACATATGGATTAAATAAGCACAGTGACAATTATACCTTCACAACTTTAAATATTTTGATCTTATTCACCAAAGCTCAGTTATTTTTGGAGATACTAATTTTAAAAAGTCACAGGTTTTAGTTAATGCAATTTACCTTTTTCATACTGTTTTCTGACCAGGTTTCCATCCACAAAACCTGACATTTCTTGTACAGTGCTGGATTACTTTCACAGTTTATTGTGAAATTTACATTGGTAGAATCCATGATCAAGACAACATGCAGATTTTGTTGGATTCCTACGAAAATGCAACATATTAAATATTTAGCAGATAACAATCTGACTACAGGATGGTAGATTTATTGCAAACACAAAGAATTCACTGTCCTTCAAATACTGATCACAAGGTAATTTCTGAAGAAAATACTATTACACCACATCACACTAGGGCAGGAATGTTTATAGACAAAACTTAAATAAATAAATTCAAAATCATGGACTCTCATTATGCATATTATGTGTATTTTTTTAATTTAGGAGAGCTGACAGTATTTAAATGGATACTACTAGTTTTCATTCCAATCACTATAGACCAATAGAACCAATTAGAAGTAGATCCAGGGCCCTTGAGTATGACTGCCTATATCTGTATTCTTTCAGTCACATTCTTCTATTTATTTGTAAACTATTTAATCTTCTTGTTGGTCTAAGGAAGAAACACAAACAATTACCTATCTGTAAACTTGCTTATGATTACTCAGAATCCAAACTGATTTATAGGTATAATCAACAAATAGAAGAAAACTCTATTACTAGATATATAAGCTAAACAAATGAGAAAACGATGGGGACAAAAGCTTCCTTCCTTCTAACTACTTTCAACATCAGATTCCGTAACAGATTTGTAGAACATTCATGGATACAAAATTTCAGACAGAAGACTGAATTTTAAGCTGAGGGTTCTGTGCCCTCAAATATCACACTGTAATAATTATTCCTGCCTGGTTTTTAATAACTAACTGAAAGTTAAAAATGCACACAAAACAAGGACCATGTTAGAAATTATTTGTCCTTTATTATACCGCTTTTGTAACCTTGTAATAAATTATAACTTATAAATCTGTTCACATACGGTATGTGAAATAGTTGAAAATTGGTCCTGTAAATCCATCTTGTGAAGCTTGATCCTTCAGAGGAGATAGCAATGGTTCTAATTCTTCTGTTTTATATAGCCCAGGAACTTCTCCTATTTGAAGAATGAATTTAAAATGTCAGATCAAATGAACTATAATTCTTCAAATTCCTTTGAAGGATTCCCTTGAATTCTCTGTATAGAGAATTTGAGTATGGCAGTATTCACCTCCATACTTTCATGAGTATCATCCCATGTACTTTATCATTATTTTCATGACATCATGAAAACAACAAACCAAATTACAGTGATCCCATCTAACTTAAACAGCATACTTCGTTTATACTACTGAAATATACTTCAAAAATTCATTCAAATCTACCCAAAGACAGTGATCCAATACGGGATACAAACCAAATCAAACCAGACTTTGTCATATACCAGAAAACAGCAAAATGAAAGAGTAGTTATCTAGGTCCTCAGTCACAGAGGTTTAACACTAGATGATGAGAATCTGACACTGTAAGGATACTTGGATTTGCACTTGAGAGACAGGAAAATCTGGTGCTCTTATCAATCAGCTCTTAAACTACTGCAGTTCCAAAAAACATTTAGTTAGTTAGGCTCAGTCCTGCAATGATCTCTCTGATTGAGGAACAAAGCCAGATAGCAAAATAAAGTAACTTTTGTTATTTGTTATTATTGTTTATCATCTCATTACCTTCAGAAAAGTGGGCTTTGCTGGTGTTCATTTAAGTAAAGGACTCAGTCTATACAATCTAGTAAAACATTGGAACACCTCTCCATTTTTAATTTTATTAGAAAAAGTAAGCTGTAGAATAGAATACACCATTATTTTGTTTTTACACTATTATAAAGAACTCCCTTGAAATAAGTTACTTAATTTGCAACTTTGAGGAACTGAAAGCACCCATACTGTAGGGTAGGTTAAAGGACAGCTAAGTGAACTTCAAGTCAGTTTCTCATGTACAAACACTCTAGCCAAAACAGTGCAGGAAGCTAACACTTCCGGTATGGACATAAAGCTAGAAAACATCATCTAATTCTGCCTCATTGAGCTAACTCTGTGTGGTAAGTCTTTTTGGTCTTGTCTCACCTGAAGACAGTAAACTGTTGATCATCTCAAGGAATGTGGAATGAACAAACTGATAGTCTTCAAGCAGCAACACCACCTGCTGTGCTTCAATGCCCGCAAGCTCCATCACCTAGAAGCAGGGAAGACATTTAAATCTCAGTATATGGAATATATGTATTGTTCATAAGAGAACAATAATCTTTCCTTGATTATATTGCATATATATTTTCTCCACAGCATCTGAACTGTTACATATTTACAAAAGATTACTAGGTCATTCAGTTATATGAGATACCAAATATAAAGAACATTCTACCTAGATGTACAGCTTGGTAATGAAAAAATAATTAAAACAGGCTCTTTCATAGAGTCTTATGTTCCAGATGTGATTCAGTAATAGCTGTATCACTTTTTTGTGTGGGGTTAGCTCTGGAATTTTCTTTAGTATTGCTGAAGGTACTGGGAAACTCCTGATTCAAGGTTTGCATTTGTTTTTAAATACATCACTAAAATTTTACTTGATTCAGCTAGTATCCTATTAACTGGCAGACCATGGTAGAGACAGAATATGAAAATATATACAAATATGAAAATAAATACATGAAAAAAACCTTTCCAATATTCACATAAACTTAGAATTTATGAATAAAAACAGCTCTGGTATTCAAAAAAGTAGTGTTTCAGGTAACTACTATAAAGAACAGTATGCACATCTAAACACTTGGAACTTCTAAAAATCTGCATTTCATTTAGACTGTTAACATTTTGTTTTTCTTAAAATATCTCTTCACACAACACTTTTGTGTCCTTCAAAATTCCTGTATTCTTTTTTTTTTTAATACACACCTACAACACTACAAAGTGGAAGACACTGAGTGACTTACATATTTAAGATCATTTTTGAACTGCTTCAGCTCATAGCCTCTGGAAATTTTGGGAGTAATCAGAACAGCTCCGTGCATATGGCTAACTAAAGAGGTAACTGTCCGACGACCTACACCACTCCGTCCTGCCAAAAGAAGTGATCCTCCAGGAAAACTTAGCACTCTGTCCACTTTAGACATAAAACTGAGGACTTCCTGGAACAGTAAAATCTCTACCTCTTTTTTGTCTCGTCCATAATGAATAATACCCTATTAAAAGAGAAAAAAAAGAAATGTGTTTGCTAATAATAAATAAAAGCAGTAAGATATGAAAGCATCCAACATTTAAAAGTTTAGAAAAGAAGGGATTGAAAGCTTACGAGACCACACTGGAATTCATTACAAATAAATTATTTATGTGACAGAATTTAGATACCTCGCACATCCTTTACCCGTAATGAACACATCACATTATCCCCAGCACCAATACACCCTAGAATTCTTTTGTATATTGAAATACAAATCTACCACTGAATTAATTAAAATTAAATAATGGACCAGAACAAAGTCTGAGCTGTGTCTCTGACTACAGATTAATTAATATTGGCATAATGCGTTTTAGGCAGCTAATTGCTGCATAATTGAAGATTATGGAATTTCCTACTGAAACACACATAGTAACAGACCCTAAGATTAAATTCTGGCCTTGTTATGCTCTAATAAAATGTCATCTTTGAAGCCCATTGTAATTGTGTAGTCAGAAAAAACCCCGAACTTTCTGATTACTGAGGTCTATTGAACTTCATCATTTCCCATATAGTGTATTGGTCACAAGTTGGCAATAAGGGAGAGAGAGTAGTTTCCTATCTACAAGAGCAGTCCACCAAATACTACTAATAAGGGGAGATGATCTCAAACCTCTCATCCTGCAAACAATTAGCCTAGCAGAGTTAACGTTTGCATTTCCTCATCAAGCTCATTTTTTGTACTTTACTCTTTAAAAGCATGCTAAATCTCCAAACAATCCATTTGTATTTCTTCAAATAAAAATTACATTAGCAAATTACAAATTCAGAAAGTAAACATTTAATAAAACATTTTGGTACTCAAACAGTACACAAACATACATGTACATCAATGTTTCTCAAAGTGTTGTTCATGAAACTGTTGTAAATCACCAGCAAATGTGACTGATGCCCTTTTGTTAAAATAACCTTGCTACATGATACTTCCTCCTGCCTGCCACATACCATCACAAACCTTCCCTCACTTGACCAAACACAAAGGATGATTCCTTGAAGAAGCAGCAGACCCCAACCTAAACCTGGTAGTCTCATGTTACTTGCTGTAAAAAATGTCTAGAATAATTGCTGTGAATCCTTGCTGTGTATATTCTTTATTTTTGTCTCACTTTTTGAATAGTATCTTTCAGGTCTGTTGAGTTTAGTCTACCAAGTGGCCTCCCATGTGGTGGCAGGGCCTGCCCTGGTGTGATGAATGTCTCCTGACAAGCTCCCCAAGTTACATAGAAGATATCTGTCAAAATAAAAGGAAACATTCGAAAGTTCAGGTGCTCAGTTCATACACTATCTGACTTGATCAGACTGATTTTATTAGGCAGTTCCTAAACAAATATTTCAAGTTTGTGTAGTACGCCTCAAATGGTTTACCTGCCATATTGTCCAGAACATCTGAGCCCCAATCACCTTGAAACACTTTCATCAAAACATTATCAAATACATGGAGTTCTTTCACGCCAACAATTTTGTCACGGAACAAACGACATGCTTCGTAAGCAACAATTTCCAATACATAGTCTACAGTTTGTATCGATGAACCTACGAAATTTAAGGAGATATTTAACTTTATATGTTTGTAATAAATTTTACATTTCTCAAATTTTCCATTTCAATATATGAGACTGAAGATGAGTAAGTGAAGTTACATACCAGCAGGAGAGTATCAGTAAGGAAGAAATGAGAGAAAAAAGTAAACATTATGAAGTGCTTTTTTAATAATAATTTTATGGATCATTACAAGATAAAATGAAACATATTCTATTAAAACAAGTTCTCCAGTTTAGTGCCAGCATTCTAATGAAAATTAATAAGGTGTTGCACACAAATTAAAAATTAAAAGACAAAATTCCATGAAAAGAAAACAAAAAAAGACAGGAGACTTTTAAAGGGGAAGAGAAAGGCTGACAATAAATACTAAAATAGCAATAAATACCCAAAACAGACTGTATTATAAAATGCCACTAGAGAATACAAAGCTTCAATATTCTTCACAAAAGAAGGAAGGTGAGGTGAGTAAATGACATACAATATTGCTCATCACTGAAAAAGCGTACACATATGTGTCCTGGTTTAGGATGGGATAGAGTTAATCTTCCTCCCAATAGCTGACATAGTGCTGTGTTTTGGATTTAGGATGAGGATAAGGTTGATAACACACTGATGGTTTAGTTGTTGCTAAGT